AGAGTTCCAGAACTGCAGGGCTTGGCTTGGTAGTGCCCCAGTTCCACCAGAGGCCTAGGAATTTGGTCAATCAAATCAACAGCCCCTAACGATGCAGAGCAAGGTGTGTGTTGGAGCAAGAGGACAGCCCTAAAGATCTCCCAATGAGCTCAAGTCCTTTCATCTCACAGATAAGAAAAACAGTATTTGAATTTCTGTTAAATCAGATACCCATTGTGTGGTTTTTAAAAGAGAGTTCTAGAATGAATAAGCAATAACCAGTGATCAGATTTAAGAATTCTTCTGGGTAGGGGACTTGGAGTTAAGAAAAATCTTATCAACTGGCTTGATTTTTTCCTTTAGAAAGGAAGAAAATTGCTATTTATTTGATTTTAGCAATAGAAATGTCACTTCGCTTTCAGAACACTGGAGACAGGGGAACGTGGCTGCTCAAAAGTTAGAAAGAAGAATAAAAGCACAGTGTTTGAAGGATAGTGACTCATCCTGAATCAGACTCATCAGCATCTCCTGTCTTGGCAATTGAAGTGAGGTCAAATTCTTCAACAAGTCTAAAGTTCATCAGTCTTTCAAGTCAACCTTCTCTCGACCTTGCTGTTCACATCACTACGGAGCTCAAGTGCTCAGCCTGGCTCAGAAGCCTCCAGGGCTCAGCCTAGCTCAGAAACCTCCAACCCCCCCACCTTGTCACAGCTGTTTGTTGCCTCTACTTTTTCTCTGTGTGTGTGTGTGTGTGTGTGTGTGGTATGTGTTGTGGATGTTATGCATGGTATATGTGTAGTATATTGTGTTGTTTGTATATGTATGGTATGTGTGTATATGTGGTATGTGTGTATGTGGCATGTGTGTGGTGTGGTGTGTGGTGTATGTATAGTGTGTGGTGTGTGTGGTTGTCTGTGCTGTGAGTGTGTGTGTGTGTGTGTGTGGTGTATGGTTTTTGCAGTGTGTGTGTGTGTGTGTGTGTGGTATGGTGTATGGTTTGTGGTATCGTGTGTGTGTGTGTGTGTGTGTATGTGTGTGTCACACATGTGTATAAAGGGCAGACGTTTAATTCAGGGTCTTCCTGTGTTGCTGTCCACCTTATTTTTTGAGTCAGGATCTCTCACTGAATCTGGAGCTCCCAGATTTGGCTAGACCAGCTGGACAGTGAGTCTCAGAGATTCTTCTGTGTCTGCCCCAACCGTGCCCACCCGCACCTCCACTCCCTCCCCAAGTACTGGGGATACAGGCATGCTTGCCTTTGTGCATGCATGCTGGGGATCCAGATTCACATCCTTGTGCTTGCACAGCGATACTCCACCCACTCAGCCATCTTCCCAGCGCCCTCTTTAGTGCCTTGCTGCCCAGCACAGGAACTCTGAACCTGGCAGGTCCTCCATAAAGCTGAGTAAGTAGATGTGTCTTTGCCCTCACCCCGCCCCTTTTCTTTCCCTAATTTTAGAAGGTGACATTAGAGCCTCCCCATGCCTATCTGGCCTTGCTCCAGCTTCCTATAGTCATGGATGCTCAGGTGCCCGGATGAAATGCTTCTTTGTACATTTTCCTTGTTTTCCTCATTCTCATTGCCTTCCAGTAACTACCATGCTCCCACACAGCACTGATTTAGATCAATCATCTGGCAAAGGCGCCTCAGTGTCTCCTGAGGGGGCCTCAGCTGCCCACAGTGCCTCCTGAGGACTCAACAGACAAGCCTTCAGGCCTGCTGTGGCAGGAGGACTCCCACTGCCCTGATGACTGGATGCCCACTCCCAGCACTCATCGGCAGCTGTCTTCTGCCCGCTGTGCAGCCGGGAGACCACATAGCGCGGTGGGAGGGTTTCTGGCAGAGGCTGCGAAGCTTGGTCAGAGTGTAGGCAGCGGTAGACTTCAGCGGAAGTCATGAGAGCGGAAGGGATGATGAGGCAAGTTCAGCGACTGAAAGTGAGGCCCTCACGGCCAATGACCCTGAAATAGCTCCTGGCTCCAGCTTCATTCTCTCTTTCCTCCACGTACACAGTTGCAATGTTTTTAATGGAAAAATAAATGCTTGCTCGTGATAAAACATTCATAAGGTGTAATGAGATACACACAGACTTCCATCTGTGTCAGTGCCCCCACCGCCTCCCCTGCAGCAAACACTAATATTCTGAAGGACATTGCTTGTAACAAGTACATGTGTGTGTGTGTGTGTGTGTGTGTGCTTGAGACAGAGAAACATGCTATACCTCCTTTTGACTCTGATATTTTCAAGAATAGTTCATTCTCCTGGTAACAAGGAGCATAGAAAAGGGGAGAGACTGTGTGTGCGTGGGGACAAATGAGGAACTCAGCTCACCAAGGCCAGCAATGAGCTAAATCTTGGGAAAGTAAGTCCTCTGGCCCTGCTTACTAACAAATGTTGAGACTCCTCCTCACCACAGGTGGCACTGAGATCTGGGCCAGCCAGTGACAGCAGGCGAGCTGACTTCAATGGCAGGGCTGATCATGACTATGTGGCTCCCTAGAGACTGAGAGGGCTCACCAGCTGCCATCCCATGCCTGCCCCCAACTTCATTGTCCCCAGAACAGAAGATGTCGGTTTGGTGATCACTACTCTGGGTCGTATGTGCTGATTGCGAAGGGATGCTGATGCAAAGTCTGGAGAGAGAGCATCAATTTCATCCCATCTCCAACAGAAGGAGAGGATTGGGGAGCGGTCTGTGAGCATTCTGGGCCAGGCTGTTACTGAAATGCCTCCCTGTCAGAGACCAGCTTCAACAGAAATATCACTTACCAGGGTAGGGGCATAGGGATTAGAAAAATAAGTAAAGTGTACGAAGACGTGAGTAAAACTAATAAGACAGAAACATAGGGCAGTACCAGGAGGGAGCTCCAGTGAGTACTGAACTCCCTGCATTTAATTTTCCATACACTTTTAAACCCAATACAAAAGGGGGAAGAAGGCAACAAGAGACTTCTTCAATGTGATCTTTAACATGATACAAAGGACAACTCAAACAGCTAATTGCCTCAACACTTAGAGGCATCAAGTCATTAGCATTCTGGTGTATAGGCAGTGAAGCCACCCTAGACCAAGTATCCTAAATGCAGCCACTCCCCAGGTTAAACCTCCTGATACAAAAAAAGGAGCAGAAATATTCTTGCATATCCTGACCATCTGTCAGGATGGAGTAGAGCTACCTGTGTGGGCCATCTTAATGTCAAAAGAACCAAGTTACCACATCCTGAGTCAGGAAGTGTAGCCCTGGTTGTTGTCAACAATTTTGAGCAACCTCAAACTCTCTGACCTTCAGACAAGGTGGAAATCCGCTCACATTTTTGGGCCTCCATGCCTCCCTGGGTCCTCTCTCTTTTCATTTTGGTTCTCTTCTTTCTCTCTTCCCTTCTCCACAAATATTGTCTTTCTCCAAACTTTTATTTCAACTGATACTTCTTGTCATAAGTCCAAAAAACTCAGAAGAAGTAAACAACAATAATATAACAATTAAAAATGATAATAATCATAGCAATCATTTATCTGCATTCTTTCTTTTTGCTATTACACAAGCAATACTTTTATCCTTTTGCTGATAGTGAAGCTAAAGCTGGGTGCCTCTGGTGACAACGCCAAGAGCACACGGCTAATAAGCAGCAGCTCCGTGTCCTGTACCAGGCCGTTTCAGACGACCAGGAGGCAGAGCACCAAGTAGCCACTGCCCTCCCTGCCATCTCACGTCTCAGGCCTTGTCTCCAAGGTCAGATTTGGGCCTGAGCTGCCACTCTTGTGTGGAGATTGGAACCGTTGTGCCAACAGCTATTGCTAATAATGTAAACTGAGGCACAGAAGTGTCCTGGGAGTAGAAGGAGGTGGAAAGTAGAAATTACAGAAGGGAGGTTGGTTTGGGGTCAGACTAACTAGAGAAAAGTATCTTTCGGGCTTTTTTGCCTTGGACCACTTAGTAATCCTTCCTGAACTCAGTCTGTGTATCTAAGGATAGAGATATTAATGTCCCTTCCCACTGTGCTTGGGTAAGATCATGTTTAGGAAGCCTTTGGTCTATTGCCTGAAAGATGCTAGCTTGCTTCCCTTCTCCACTTCAGGAAGGAGCAAGACTCTGGCCTGAGTCAGGGTACTGGATGACTCTCCACATCTTCTAGTGAAGCAGGCAAAACCACAGAGCTTCCCAAAGAGAAGTCAAAGTGGCACTCTGGTCCAAAACTTAGGAGCAAGAACTCTATTTTTATCTTTATGTGTATATCTGAGCACCAGCGTGTATGTATCTGCATAGTGTGCGTCTGGTACACACAAAGACCAGGAAAAAAGTGTTGGATTTCCTGGAACTGGAGTTACAGGTAGTGGTGAGCTGCCATGTGAGTGCTCAAAAATGAACCTGAGTCCTTTCAAAAGCAGCTAATGCTCCTAACAACTGAGCCATCTCCACAGCTCAGGGGAATAGGGACTCTAATTTAGAGTTCAGGCTCCTTCCCAGCTCTCTTTCTGTTCAAGGCTGGGATTTCCTAATTCCTGTCTTCTCTTCCGTCACCGCCTACCCTACACCCTGGATTCAGAAGAAGCCTTTCCCTGCTGTTGTGTTTGGCCATCTGTTCTGTCCTCCACACCAGCAGACTCTTCCCTAGGTGTGCCATCCTCCCAGCACCTCTGCTCTCCTGTTCTGTGGCCCTCTTTAGCCTCCCAGGCTACATTCCTATGAGTTACAACTGACCATTTGCATGGAAGAGATCGGCTGTCTAGCTAGACTATTTGCTCCTTCAAGGGCAGACACCATGTCTTATTCATCTTCACAGCCTCCATCCAGGTCAGCGTCTGGAATATAATCACTGGGAAATTTTCTTCTGAAACCAACTGCAAGAAGTCCGAAGATGAATTAGCTTTCTTCCTTCAAGAATACTGAAACACTGACAACATGTGTGCTTGAAACCACGCATTCCTATCCACACCCCCACATCACGTCGCGCTCAGCACCCCATACTGAGGACAAATACTTGGATAATGGTGTCGCCTTCTCCCCTTCTCTCACCCTCAGGGGACCCCAGCATCTGCTCCATCTCCAACCCTGATTTTGTCATCTACTCTTCCGTGGTGTCCTTCTACGTTCCTTTTGGGGTGACCGTCCTGGTCTACGCCAGGATCTACATGGTGCTGAGACAGAGGAGACGGAAAAGGATCCTCACTCGACAGAACAGTCAGTGCATCAGCATCAGGCCTGGATTCCCGCAGCAGGTAAGCACCTGGCAGGAACTAGCGGACAGCACACCAGCCCCCAGCTTCCAGTCACATGCCCATTCGTGCAGGTGGGGCCAGGATCAACACATAGGAGACAGATTCACATCACCTTCTACTCAGCTGGCATTGCTGTGCTTGGCGGGTAGGAGAGCCAATATTGAGAGTATACCGGGTCTTCCTAGATCTCCCTTACGTGGAAAGCTGATGGCATACTTTCTAGATTGCTCCACTTCTCTTTGTGGTAGTAGAGCCTTCCACAGCAGCAGTTCAGTTGTCCTCCTGACAAGGTTTGATGTTACTGAACTGGGATGGGGGCAGGGTAGCATTTCACTGTACTGTACCATGCACTGTTTGCCCAGGGCTTATTTTTTCTCTTGAAACTACTCATTTCAGGAATTGTCCACTGGGGCTTGTCTTCCTGATCTGTCCCTGTGTCAAGGCACTGAGCAGCTGGTGGGTCTTTCTAGACTCTACAAAGGATGTGTAGTGCCTCAGCACTGATCTTTAGTCTCTGAGCTTTAGATTTTGATTTCATTACTGCCTGGCATATGGTGGCCTCTCTGCCGTGAATACCAATCACTTCCAACCAACTAGCATAAGGACCGTTATATCAAACGGCCACTGTCTTCATGGAACTTGGAATCTGGACATGAAAACAGACCTCACCTCCACTCAAAAGGCAATGAGACACTCCTAACTGACTAGGATGTTTGCCAGATGTGATGTGAAAGCCATGAAGTGCCCAAATAGAAAGCACCATAGACATTACGAAAATGTCCAATGTGCTCAAGACAGGGTTTTCTGGGGAGAGAAAGAACTGAGTTTAGTTTTAAAGACAGAACTAGTTAGGGTGTCTAGTACAGTCTCTGGTGACCTGTGTAGAGGTCAGACTCTCAAAGTCCTAGGACTTAAATAGAAAAAGGTTATTGGTCCCCATGAAATAGGAGACCGTGACCTAAGGCTTAAGATACAAGCATAGTGCATTCCAAGTACTGCTATGCTACCTAATTGCATATGATATGGCTCAGTTTTGTAGAGATTATCCCCCAACTGATTGTTTCTTCTTCAAATACCCCAGTCTTCCTGTCTGCGGCTCCATCCCATTCGACAGTTTTCAATAAGAGCCAGGTTTCTGTCAGATGCCACGGGACAAATGGTAAGTTGGCCATGTCTTGGATTAAGGGGAAAGAGTGAGAGGTCTTTTCACTAAGATGTTGTTCTGTCTGGATCTCATTCCTACCACAAGGTGGAATGTCTCACTGACCTCACACACATAATATATGCCAAGACCCCAGAGTCTGTGTGATTAAAGTCAGAACAGGTTTTCATCCAGTGACATTCAGAAATCATGGAACTAATGGGCTAGATCTCAGTGACTAGAGTCAATAACTTTCAGATGTGGTGAGGATGCCATCTAGAGTCACCTGCAATGGAGGGAATAGGGTGTCAGTGGACACATAGAAAGATCCAGAGAAAGAAAAGTTTCAAGTGTCCTGTTTGTTACTGACTGTATACAAAACCATGACAATTTCATGGTCCCCCTAAGCCTCATCTTTCCAATTCAAGTCAGTTCTTGGCATGCGTCACTAGCGTAGTGCAGCAAAGAACCTAAAGATGTCAAATACAAGACCAGGGTTCCTCTTCCCGAACTCACATTAGAAATTAAACTTGAAAAACAGATAATGATGAAGAGTTGAGTCTTGTCCAGTCTCTCTCTAATTAATTAACAGCTCTGTGCACGGGCCTGATGTAGCAATTAGAGACTCCTGCTGAAAATGAGAACAGATAGAGAAGCAGTTTAAAACCGACGTGACAGATTCATGGTCTGAGGAGATGCCAAGGCTGAAGGAGAAGTGTTGACTTCACAGGAAGGATTGGAGAGTCATGAGGCTGCATTGCCAGGAGTGTGGAGAATTAGGTTCTGTCCTACCATCTGGAAATGGTAGTCTCTCTGCCAGCCAGCCATCTACAGAGAAATCCGTGTTTCCCACATCAACTATGGAGGTAGGGCTACGGATTTACAGAGCAAACTGAAAAACACCGTCACCAGCATAGAATCTTGGAAGAGTCACTTTCTTCCTGTAGGACAGAATATTCACTTTGGTGACATGGAACTGGAATGGTCTTCAGTTCTAAAGACACTGCCAAGAACTAATCCCCAGTCCCAACTAGAACACCAACAAGTAACTTTCTGAAGTAACGCACTAGAAGTTAAATATTGTGATTTTCAGATAATAGGTGCCAGCTTAATCATAATTATTGTCTTGATTATAGATTGGCTTCATATAATATAGTTATATTAATTAGGAAATTAATTAGGAAATTCTATCAAAATAAAAAACCAACTGTTCTGAAGTCTCCAACTTGAGGAGTCATATGTGAATCTCCCCTTGTCTGGGCTTTGTCAGGTACCAAAGCTTCCCGCTTAGTGGAGAGACAGGAGAGAGGAAGGGTAAAGAAGGAATAGCTGGCTTTATGACTTTTGTAGTAGAAGTTGAAGAATCCTATTTCCTACTGAAGATTGACACAAGTGTCTAATCTTTCAAATATGAAAAGTTCAAATGTCAAACACATATATACCCCCTTCCCCAGGCAAAACTATCAGAAAAAAAAATCACATTCTATTTCTTCCTAGGTTTTTTTTTTTATCTTACATTGAAGTTTAGAGACAGTTAGCTAACATCCTGAAGGATAACATCTACTAAGTTGAAAAGTTATGATACAAATCTTAGGGTTTTTTCTCCCCCTTTTAAATATTGACATTTAAACTTCCAAAAATAAAAGTATGGCACATACCTATAACCCAAGTATTTGGGAGCTGGAGGAAGGAAACTTGATGGCAAATTCAATGCCAGCCTGGGCTATATGATACCCAATCTTATAACAAAATGGAATTAAATATTTAAAAAGTTTTAAATGAAAAGACAAAACAAATCCAGAGTCAGCATCAGCTAGCTTCAGCAGTTATCAATTTGGGACCAATCTTATTTCATCTGTGCTCCAACCTACAAATACACACATACCCTTAAGAATCAAATCCCCAGATTAGAAAGATAGCTCAGTGGTTAAGACCCTGGTTCAACTCCCAGCACCCACATGGCAGCTCACAACTGTCTGTAACTCCAGTTCCAGGATGTCCCCTCACACAGAGAACATACAGGCAAAACACCAGTTCATATTAAATACATACATACATGCTACATGTATACATACAAACATACATAAATCTTTTTAAAAAAAGAATCAAATCCCGAGTATCTAAGGCCCATACATTTCCATCTCATAGGTGCTTCTTACTGTTATTGTTTGTTTAAGAACTCAAAGCGTTTGTCTTGTAGGGTTTCCCACGTTCCAGATTTTGCTGACTACATCCCAGTGATGATGGCACTTAATATGTTAATTGCTATAGCCAGGCCTTTCAGACTCAGAAAGGCAAGACTACAGTGCTAGGGTGCCTTCTCATGGATTGCTATGGAGATGGAATATGTCCTGTGGGGTTGCTGCTTTTCAGTTGTAAAGTCAGATATAGATGTAATGTCCCTACCTTCCCATGGTCCCGACACGCCCCCTGTAGGATGTACACAAGGAGGGTATCCTCCTTTTTCTTTTCATTATCTTTCCGTTTCAGGAGCACATAGAAGACAAACAATATCCCCAGAAATGCCAGGACCCTCTCTTGTCACACCTGCAGCCCCTCTCTCCTGGCCAGACCCACGGGGAGCTGAAGCGCTACTACAGCATCTGCCAAGACACTGCCTTGAGGCACCCGGGCTTTTCAGAAGCAGGAGGAGGGATGAGCCGGGTGGAGAGGACGCGGAACTCCTTGAGCCCCACCATGACACCCAAGCTCAGCTTAGAGGTTCGAAAACTCAGCAATGGCAGGCTGTCCACCTCTCTGAAGCTGGGGCCCCTGCAGCCGAGGGGGGTACCGCTTCGGGAGAAGAAGGCCACCCAGATGGTGGCCATTGTGCTTGGTAAGTCCGAGTTGCTAATTTGGGTCGGGTTAGATGGTTCGTTGAAGCTAGTGCTGGATGCTGCAGTGGGGCTATCACAGCTGCATTGAAAGAACATTGGAAATTCAATTATAAAATATTTATAATACAATTGAAAAGGTTTCTGTATGAACATTAACTCTTATGAAAACTCGAAAGAACAAAATGAAATTTATGAAGTCACTAAATTTAGGTTACAATATAGAATGATAATGTATAAATTGAGTGATAATGGTTCAACGAAAGTGTCTGGCACGCTTTGGGTATTTAATAAATATTTACTTATTTTAAAATATAAATGAGAAAATAAGAAGGCAAAACTTGGCTGTCATATGATATGGTGATACCTAGATCATCTTAGATAAGAAAAAAAGAACAAAATAGATCCATCAAGATGTCAAAAGTGATTATCTTTGAGTAGTGGGTGGTTCTTTCCTTTCTGTATTCCTGTATTTACCAAGTTTTCTACTATGTATATGGCCTGTTTTCAATTTTATAGTAAAAAAAAACCTTAAATTCTAACATCTAATTAATTAAAGTTTGCTAAATCACAGATGCCACATAGCATTAGTGAAAGAAAAGGCGAATCAGTGAATGGAAGCCAAGCCAAGCAAACAGAAAGTAGATGGCGTATAGAACTCCCAGCATGGTGCCCAGGAGCACCCAGAGATGGCTTATGGGCTGTTTTCATACGTGAGGAAAGTGGTGAACAAGCCCCTCACCCGCATCCTCTTTCTTTGCCACCCAGGGGCCTTCCTTGTCTGCTGGCTGCCCTTCTTCCTGACTCACGTTCTCATTACTCACTGCAAGGCTTGCCATGTGTCCCCGGCACTTTACAGAGCCACAACATGGCTAGGCTATGTGAACAGCGCCCTCAACCCCGTCATCTATACCACCTTCAACGTGGAGTTCCGCAAAGCCTTCCTCAAGATCCTGTCCTGCTGAGGGAGGAGAAGAAGCCGCACTCACTTTACCCACTTCCAGATGCCAGGCAGGTTGGACCCCTGCCCACCAGGGTCTGCCTGAAATGACTACACTGTGTTCTGGCGTGTGTGGTATGAAGATTTGTGAAGCAGGACAGCCCTGGTTAGGAATAACCAACTGTTTATTCCGCAGTAGAATGGTCTACCTCCCCAGCTTACATCTGACTTCATTCTGCCAGGCTTCAGATTGCTAAGTGCTGGGTAATAACTCAGAGAGATGTTGATAAGAAGTGTATGGACACACACAGAGAATTGTCACTGGAGACATGATGCATTGGAGTGAAAGAAAAATGAACAGGTCTCGGCAGTCTCACCCTGCCAGGGGTCCTTGAAATCACAGCCAGGAAGCCAGCCGTCTTGTAGACAGTCGGTTTTTCTTCTTTCAGACCCGTAATTAACTGTCAGCACAGTTAACCTTGCGCATCCATGGGACCCATTTGCTGTTTTCCTTCACTCTATCCTGAAACACGAAAGGCAAGGCCAATGTTTAAACCTTTCTGTAGGATGGAATTGGCTGCACTTGGTGAGGGTCTGCTCACCCCAGAGCAGACACTGTCCCACATTGGGACTTGGGTTTTGTTTCCACCCTTACTGCCCTTACAGTACACGTTAGCTCTGGCTTGGGGAGGGGGTCCTATGCTTTATTCCCTGACAATTTCAAGACAATTGTAGTGTCTTGATTTCTGGAAATCATTCAAGACAAGACGGTTAAAGAAGGTAAGTCAGTTTTCTCTGCAGTGTCATGGCTGAGCTTTGTGGTTTAGAAAGTGCCTTCTGTTTGCTATTCATCACTAGGTTTTCCTAGCCAGGAACTTCCGTCTGCTTGACAGAGGCCCAAAACCTTCAGACCTTGATAATCACCAAGTGTGTGGAAAGTGCTAGTCGCCTCCCAGGTTCTGAAGAGATGAGTATGACCGAAGCAGTCTCTTCTCAAAGACTTTACTCTCCCCTGGCCCTGACGTTTGTCCATGTGTGACAGTGACTTTCCTGGTAGGGGTCAGCCACCCCAAGTCATCACATGATGACCTGTGAAACCTAAGTCAGAGCCTCGCCACGACTCTGACAACTGTGTTCAGAGCATAACAGAAGCCGGGTGTGACAACTCAAGGAAAAAAACCACCAGAAATAACAGGTAAATGGCATTCAAAATTGCATTTAGACGGAGCTATAATATATACATCATTTACCTTCGCACCTACAGAACTTATTCTTTTTATTGATTTCAGAATCAAGGTCAAATTAATAGAAAATTTATGAAATGCTGTCAGCCTGAACTTCAATAAATTTACCTTTCAGAGCATTAGTATATAGCATGATAGATAGTGGCTGGCTGGCATGCTGTTAAAACTTTAAAGAGCCCGACAACCTCACAAAGGATTCAAGGCCTCACCCACCCTATCCTTATTTGTCTGACCCTAATGAGTTAGTTGCCTGGTAGTCGTGAATGCTTTGGTGCCAGAACTTCAAAGTCTTATTATCTATAAATTTGCTATTGTACCACAGTATGAAAACCGGAATCCTCTCTGTCCACTGCCTCTTATATTGAGTGCCATAAAGTATGATTGGTTTTTGTTACAGGCAAAGCTGATTCCTGGACACTTAAATCTGCAAAAATAAAGGTTTATGATTTCTAAATTTCCCCATTCAAAATAAATAAAAACAGATGAGCCTGTGGGGTAAAATATTATAGAGTTCTATGTAAAAATAATGAGAATCTAGAGGCAGAAATATAAGCATTGGTATCAATACCTTTGTAAGGAAGAATGACAGCAATTAATTTTTTATTCCATTTCATTTTATTTTATGTATTTAAGAGTTTTGCCTGCCTGTATGTATGTGCACCACATGCATGCCTGGTATCTGCAGAGGTCAGAAGAGGTCCTTAAATCACCTGGAACTGGAGCTGCCATGTTGGAACTAGGACCTAAGCCCAGGTCTTCTGCAAGATGGCAAGTGCTCTTAATCACTGAGCCATCCCCCCAGTCCCTTTTATCTTTTCTCGGTATCAGATAACTAACCTTTATAATAACCTTTGGTAAAATGACTTTATTTTATAGATGAAGATACTGAGACAGAGAGAGGTTAAACACTTGCCCGCAGGTCAAGTCAATAAGTGGTAGGGATTTGAATGTGCATGCATGATTCCCATGCTGGCACATGGCTTCCTGCCAAAGAGGAGAGGTGGAAGAGAGTCTAAGATGAACTTAACCCTACCCCACCAATCATCTACTGTAGCCAAATAACTTTCCTACATTTTAAAACTATGTCTCCACTCTGGCAGTATTTGTCCATGAAACCATCTCAAAGCTGAATTTGGGGTTATTAAACACTATGAATCCTATTTTTTTAGACAACAAACAGGTATAAGTATTGTGCACATAAATTGTCTACTTAGCAGACTATAAGCTTCTGGTGGGACATAAAGCACTTAGCCAAGTACCTCAACTTCCCAGAATCCAGCCTAAGATATTGGTTTCATTCTCCTGCCATGTTCATAGGCAATCCATACTCTCTAGAGAGTGATTGGTTTTGCATTCTCCTTCACTTACATAAAAAAGAACCAAGGCTTGGAACTGCGGCCCCAGTTGGTTAATGAGAGCCAGTTGTACCAAATCCCAGCTCCTTGTTCATTCCATTTTGCCACATCCCCAAAAGCACTTGTAAAAACTTTTAGCTCCATATAGATACAATGTAGAGTTATACTGTCACTTCTACCATTAAGCTGTAAAGCTCCTATTGGCTCCACAGTCTCTGTACAATTGACTCTATTAGTCTGTACAGTGTCTATGTCCCAGATTTTTTTGGTCTTGTCCAGGAAGAACTTCCAAGAGAAATCCCAAACATACCTCCAAAGTCCTCACTGCATCCTCTTCATCATAAGTCCCTCTTACCGCCCCTCTCTTCCTCCCCACCATGAGCCAACACCTTCAATCTTAGGGCTTACTATTTTCATTGCCAACATGGCTACAAGACTCAAAGAATGTTGGACCGAACAAATAAGGGCATAGTTCTTGGGGAAACCTCTTTCAGAACCCAAGGAAATAGCATTCTTTCCCAAACTGTTGGAGTAAACTGCAAACAGCACAGGCATCTTAGCATATTCTAGTCAACATTCAACTCAGGGCCATAAGCAAACAGATTTCTCTTCTAGAGCATCATCCTTTAATATTTCATTACTCACTTTCTTAAATCAACCACTTATTAGGTAAGTACAAGTTTCTCACCTTCTGATAAATCACGGTACATGAAGGCATAGTCATTGCCCCGCGCCCTCAGAAGCCTCTAGTCTAGTAAGGAGGTTATTTATGTGCACAATGCTTACCTGCTTGTTGTCTGTTTTTTTAAAAAAAAAAAGTAGGATTCTAGGTGGTTAGTATCTCCAAATCCAGTTTTGAGATGACTTCCTTGACAAATAACTATCAGAGTCGAGATGATTTTAAAATGTAGAAAAGGTATTTCAGAAAGAGTAGTCCCCCAAAACACTAAAAGTCAGAACAAGCAAAGAGCATTGAAGCAATCAGAAATAACAATGTCTGACTATAGGAATGACGCAGTAGGGATGGGCTGTGTCCTTCCATCATTTCTCAATATCTCTTGTAGCTCTGGATCAAGTAACAGCGAACTGATGGTACCACTTGTCACAGAATACATCTAGAACTTGGACCCTAGATCCCCATGTGTGCCACACACACTGTGGAGAGTCCACCACTGGTTTGGGTGCCTATTCCTTCTGTGCTACCCTGGGTTTCAGCAAACGCAGACTTTAATCTGAATTCTTGTATCTTCACTGTGAAGGCGAGGGGATGCCTAGTTGAATGGACTTGGTATCAGAAAGGGTTCCCATTAGGCAACACAGAGGCTGGATCAGAAATCAAGGGAGGTCAGTCAAAGAGATTTGTTTTTGTGAATTCTTGGGTCAGAAACACACAGAGAGGCAGAGAGGTTAAGAGTGTCATTTACAAATAGTTATTTGCCGGAGATTCTGGCTCCCAGGTCTGTGCTCGTCATTTGGTATCTGGTGACATTAGATGACTGGAAAGGCTTAATTTGAATCAATACACAGGGAGCAGAGAAGAGATGACAGGCAATTAACTTGATTCCTCCATTCTACCTAATTGTCTACTCATCGGCTGAGGAAGCAAGTGAGTTGCCATGACTACCTCCTGACACAAAGACTCAGTGCAGGTGATGCCATTGTCAGCTCATCTCTGTGGCACATGCTGGCAGAGGCAGAACCTGAGAGTCCTGGCCAAGCACAAGACCTAGGCCCACTCGTTTCCTCAACCCTCACCTCAATTAATCATCTGCCTCCACCACTGTGCAAAGAATTTCTGCTTTGTGGAGAGCCTGGCTCCTGGGAGGAGAAGCTGCAGACTTCTGAGGATGTCCGTGCCCCCAGGTGGAAGCAGAGATGACTCCATGTTGGCTTTAACCCTCTTATGGGAAACACAGTGTTCAGACATGAGTTGAGGGCTGAAGTCCTAGGGCTAGCATGGACACGTAGCTTCAGGCAAGTGCTTTAACCTCTGAGCTTCACTTTACTCATGAGAAAAATGGAGACCTAAAGTCCTGGTCTTTCTTAGGAAACCATTTGAAGATAAAATCACCAGCTAGTACTTCTCCTTGTCTATGCCTGTTGCGACAGCAAAAACCTGCAGACAGGATCATTTACAAGTGATAGAAATTTATTTTCCCACAGTTCTTAAGGTTGGAATATCTAAGATCAAGGCACCAGCAAATTTGTTGTCTGCGTGGGCTCAGTGTCTGTGCCTAAGACAGTGTGTCTAAGATGTGGTAGGGGAGGGCCACTCTAGTTCCCTCTGGTCCATTTGTAAGCTATTAATTCCATTTGTAGGGGCAGAACCCTCGTGGCCTCATTATCTTTTGAACACCTTCCTACTGTTACTGGTTAGGAATAACCAACTGTTTATTCCGCAATAGAATGGTCTACCTCCCCAGCTTACATCTGACTTCATTCTGCCAGGCTTCAGATTGCTAAATGCTGGGTAATAACTCAGAGAGATGTTGATAAGGAGTGTATGGATGCACACAGAGAATTGTCACTGAAGACATGATGCAT